TTATCTAGTAATGGCATTATTAAGTACAGTAAACTCCGGTTAAGTCGGCACTTCCAGAATTCAAGAAATTATGACGACTTACGCGAATGCCGGCTTGTATTGTAAGTCGTCATTTTGCTGACTTACACGTACACATGTATTGCCTATGTACATTATAATTCCTTGCACTAATTCAATGGCTTTGATTTACCCTGGCTTATTTCTACCTCCATGGTCGATCCCAGCAAATTTGTTCTCGATTATTATCCTGCAAATTCAATAATTGATCATGTGCCCATACGAACGAAGCAAGGACGGCAAGCCACTTGCGTATCACATCACAACTCGACAGTGCAGTACATGTACGTGATACACTTACAGTACAGAAATTAGTTAAGTTCCTTCCATATAGTCTGGATACCAGACCCGATGATTCTGACTACCAGACGAATCATTATGAAGGGTTGTCCAGGAATCTTTGGGCAGGGAACCAGACTATGTTCAATAAGGCGACCCCCTTCCCCCAAATGGACAGAGCGCATGTGTGTAGCACTAGAGGGGTTAATGGTATTGATGTACTCATGCTGGCCGCGTGCGCACGATACTTGTCACTTGACACTTCTTGGCAACTGCTGCGAAGGAAACCGATACCGAAGCACGTTTTTTTTTCAGTGCCGACTTACACAAAGGAATTTTTGTGGTTTTGTGGAAAAGGGAACATGCTGACGTATACGAAATGATGACTTATAAATGCCAACTTAGCAATGAAATTTTCAATGGAAATGCATTACAGACAATTGGGACTTTTGTCAAACGGCCGACTTGGACAATATGACGGGTTATGCGATATCGACTTAGTCGGAGTTTACTGTATTTCAAGAATGAGAAATGTTGTTGACATTTCCAAACCTCAGGCGATGTGCCTTGACAGACCAGCAGCGTGCCTGTCACTATCGCATCAAGTTGGGCGATACTGATGACTGGACCAACATCTGTACCGCAGCCAGGAACAGGATCACGGCCGTGTGTGATTTCTACACATACCTGGGCTACATCAAGCAGGGACTAGTGAAAAGTGACTGTAAGTAGCATGGTTAGAGCTGTCCACATTTGTAACACGTGGCAGACCCGTTAGCCATTGCTGTATCGCATCCCTCGATTGGAAACAGTTCAACATTCGCTTGCAAATTAATTGGCCTTTTAGACAGAAATGGCCGCAGCAGTTTCATTTGACATGTACTTGCAGCTATCGTTTGTTTCTACTGGGATGGAAGTGCCAAGGTTTCTCTGTATTTCTGCTATGTTGGAATTTCTCGTTTCTTGTTTCTCTTTACAGTGCAAGAGATCTATTGGGAGATGATCAGACTACGCACACAGATGTCTCTGACCAAGTTGGGATTGCAGTAATGCACCAGTTCAACTCGGTAGTGTATTGTGAGTAGGCTGCTAGGATCAGTTGAAAGTAATCCTAAATGCAGCTAATGAGCTGGACAGATAATATGTTCATATGAGCGTGTCCAGCTGAAGCCAGTGTGAAATTCCAATACTACTGCCTTTCAATAAGTGCAGCATTTTTATCCATTCCAGTAACCTCAAAGCTCACTCGTGGGTGAGCGTCTAAACTTCAAGTGAAGCCACTCCTCAGGTCTTCGCCTTGGTTGCCAGTGTTTTTGTAGAGTCTCTAAAGAGAAAGTTACTGTGCTCAAAGTGCAGTGCCCTTAAAAAGCATGATAGAGACGACCAAAAGGTGTGTATAAGCTTGCAAAGTGAATATGAATATGAGGTAGATATGTTTGAATTAAACCGTGCTCAGTCCCTCTCTGCAACGTTGACAACTTTTCGGCGTTGTTGCCTCTTGTCAAAATTTTGCCATCAGTACATTCAGATTTACATGTAGTAGATGTCAGGAGTTTCTCGTCAACAAAGCACTTACGTTAGAGTAGTGACTTCCTCAAGCTTTCGAGTTCTGGTCATGTATTTTATACAAAACATTTGCAATAACATTCATGTACAATGAAGGGCTGCTTTGGGAGAAAGGGTTGCCTTATATCCAGTATTTTGTCATGTTTAAGCATCTCAGCATTTATTTTATAAAGAAGATATTACTTGAAATTGCTGGATTTAAAATGTATACGAAAAGATTTATATGCCTCTGTATACCTATTTGATTTGTGACATACATTGAATTTTTTATGAAATTCTTGTAATATATTTAAACAAGTATTTTGTCTTTATAGTGAGGCAATTGTGCACTGCTAGCTTTGTCATAAACAGCCAGTTTAATCTCTGTAACTTAATTTCAAATCACAATCGTCATCAACTCACAAATGAAAGAAGAGCTCACTTTGCTCAGATTTTGAGTCACCAGATTTCTTCTTTAACCACTCGGTGCCGGGATTCCTGGTACCAGAGACAAAGCAGCTGCACCTTGTAAGACCGTACTTTGAACAAAAGACCAAGCTGCTGGGAATTGCCAAATCTTCAGTACGGATTGCTGGCAGTTTCGGATGAAATCTGTCATTATTTTGGAATAGTATGCCACTGTTAACGGTATCCCGCACCCGCGGATCATCAGCGGGGACAAAAGTGCTCCAGCACTCCAGCAATGAGCGATACAGTACCGCTCCACACTAATATGGCCACACTGGAAAAGACACGACTTCAATTAAGCAACACAATGGGCCAGTTTCGGGAATAAAGGAAATTACGCAACACTGCGCAATCTGGGCTCTCTATACTGGGCGGCAGGCCTGGCTGCAGTACTCGGGTGGCAATGGAGATGGCCAGTTAGATTAGAGTAGCCACCAGACAGTCATTTGTGTGGGTGTAAAAGTCCAGTAAATGAAGTAATGAATTTTTGAAGAATTTTGAAAATGGAAAATCTTCAAAATCACCCGGGAACTCGTCCTGCGTATGCAAATTCCAACCCCTGCAGGAAGTGGTTAATGTGTTGTCACAGTATCAGGTATCAAACACAATTAATGAATCTAAATGGCTTTATCAAAACTTACCAAACACATTTTGGATAACAGTAACTAAACCTATTTTTCCCTAAGATGTTCTCTAATTAATGAATTTATATTTATGGTTGGCATAGCTATGATAAAACACAGTACATTTTACTTATGCATGAATTGTTTATACATTGCGTAGACACTAGACAGAAAGTATTTACTATTAAAATATCTTGATATTTAGATACACATGTAGTTCATGTAGATTTTGTATTCTCTTTGAGACAAGAAAGCTGCCAAGTTTCAATCATTTCCTTCTGTGTCATTCAAGGTACCAATGTATTGTTTTTGTTAAGCCTATAAACACAGATTTTCAGAAAATTTTGAAGGGTTAAGGAAGAGCAAGGCACTGCCATGAATGCTTCACTTGAGACTTGACCTGTTTGAAAGTTGAAGGAATGTGTCACTTGGCATGAATGCGAATTTGTGACGTCAGGTCAAACATTTTCGTGCTGTAAATTTGCAAAGGTTAAACACAATTCAACTCCAGCGAATTCTGCAGCAAATGTTTCATGACAACAAATTGGCTTTGCTTTGGCAGTAGCCTGAAGTATGAAGTGGCCTTTACAGTTGAGGATTTTTGAGAATGCAGGACTTTTGAGTGCCGTATCAGTTATGGTTAACAAGTGACTTGGCCAGCAATGCCATTTGGCTACTGCGTATGCTGTAACGTGTAGGCTTCATTTTCAAGCTGGGGTACAGGGCTCCACTGTGGTGAGTTTGAACTGTACCAAAGTGTAATGATTAATGCTCGAAGGAAAATTTGTCTTGTTTCATTAAAACTGCTGCTGTTGGACACCTCAAAACTTATTTTCCCCACTGCTCCAGGCATGGAATGCTGATTTGTATCAAACCTTTCAGCTTGTCAGTGTTACAGCCCTGAAAATTTCCGAAGCACCCACACCAAGAGGAGGGATAAATACCTGCGTTTTCTTACTGAGTTACCTCAGGGTAAACATATGGGACCATTGAATTCACCTCAACCGTCAGATTCCCTGGGTGTTTCTTGTATGAAATATTTAAGTAGTGTGAGATTTACAGGCATAACTTAGTACAGCACAGTGATTGACAAAATGTGTTCCTGTGTCTGCTGGACACCATAAGAGCTTTGTGGACAGTGTCATTGTTGGGGATCTGTGATTACAGACGGAAAGAAATGTACTAGTGAGTGAAAATGCAGCATGCTTTTAGAGAAGTCTGGCGTGAACAATGGTGCATTCTGTGAAAGTGAATGGGTAGAGTACTGTTTGACAAAATTGCTAGAGACCAAACTTAAATGTCAAGTTGTTAGTGTTTCTTCCTTTCCCTACCCCCGTTTGAGTATTGTTTATTCGCTTCCTTGCTCTGAGACCTTTTTACATGCAGTTAAATGCCTTTGACGGGCACAAAGATGTTGTTTATAAATTTGTTTACAACTGTTGTTCAATAGTTACAGCAATTTTTAAGAATTTAATGCAAGCATTATTTGCCACATTGGCAAGTTTAAGATTGCCTATGCCCAATCAGATGCCAAGCTCTTGTGACTGAGAAGTAATTGATTGTTGATTGTCATGTTGAAAGTCAGCATTAATTTGTATTTTAATTTAGAAATTTTAGTGAATTTTTTCATCGTAAGTGTACAGGAGAGGCTTTGGAAGAAATGTGTACACGTACACGAATTTTTAAGGGAAACTCATCTTCAATTTGCATCAGAGGTCAACTTTGCACCTAGATGATAAAGATAGTGCCTCCCTTTCAGCACTTGAGTTGGTCAACTGCAAATTTCTTGTTCATTCAACCACTATTTGATATTCAATAAATTGAAGTAGCTTTTACAGTATTGCCAGTTTTATAAAATTCACTTTGTACTCAGTAAAGAATGGATATTTTGTAATATTGTTTAAAAGGCGATACAGTTATCTTTTTCTGGTTCTGAACTTGCGTGAGCATGAAAAACCACACCAGGACTTCTGGCTCCCAAGTATTACATGAAAATAGTGTTGTCTTCGGTCTTTATGTTGTAAGTCCAGCACTAGGTTACTTGAAATAGTTGATATTATAATTTTTAGGTGCGTCAGACATTTTACTCTGACACAGTAATGGTTTGTGAGCAGAGGAACAGATTCTGTCTGAAAGTGTCATCTGATAAAGAGTGTAATGTGAATGAATGGCAAACTGAATAATCTATCCTCATGCTGTAAGTCTACAGTTGCCTTTAATATCTTGGCGAGCAAACTTAGTGTTTAATACACAGCTACTCACACTTCAAAACGCAAAGCCCCATGGCACTCCCAGTACTAATGAAGATGCCAGGGCGTCTCCAGATTTAAGACTTGCAAAACTAGTTTTATACAAAATAGTGTTACCAAATTATCTATGTTATTTGCTAATGAAATATATTTTAGAGCTAGAGTACATGTAAAGAACAGAACAGAGTTACTATTATGTGAAGTATTTGGGCCTCTCATACAGTACGCTATATTTTGATAGTTTGTAAGTATTTTAATTATGTTTTAACTGAAGAGTTCGGAGTACAAAAAAATGAAATGTGTATCAAATTTATGCAGTGGAGAAGAGAAAGAAGAAAACATTGGCTGGTTGGGACTCTATTTTTAAATCAAAGGTCGCATTGGATGCATACAAATGTTATGTTTCCTTACCCAGGTATTGCATGTCACTGTTCTGATAGAAATGAGACACCTGCTGTAACTTGTTCGTTATAAGTGTCATTCTTTCGGTTGCTACATGGTGGCCCTATCCCCCCTCTTTCCAAAAAAAAAAACCAGTCTTTAATTTCATTAATGAAATGAAGTTTTAATGGTTTTGCAAACTTAAGCTGAGAGAAAAGATGGGGGAAAAAGCTTTAAATTGATGTGTGTTATCAACGCCTTAGAAACGTGTGAGTATTTTTCCTGTTTTTCTCAAGTGGCATTAGTTATCATTGTAGTCCACATGACAGCTTATTCATTGCCGTCTGCAGCCAAAGGCATCTTCCTCCGTGACCCAACGAGCCTAATAATACATGTAGTGGGTTTGAAAGTTAGGCGCCTGTCAAAAGAGGGCGCTCTTCATGTCTTATTGAAGAGTCTTTCCTGGTGCAGCAATTTACATGTATTTCATACCTCGTGGTTTTGAAAGAGTACTGGTATTTGTATGGAATTAGATGTGAAGCGCTGTTGAGTAAAGCAGCCTTCAAGATTTTAATCGAATATCTTTTCATTGTTTTTAATTTTTAGTCGGTTACTTTTTAATCTGTGATTTGAGTTTTTAGTGTTTTTTCTTTCTACCACCTGTAACGTTAATGCTTCGCTGTTACTTTGAAAATCAGTTTTCAAGAAAGCATTGCAAGAAAAACATGATGTCATGATTGTAACAATTTGATGCACTTCGATCTTAGTTTTATTCCCACTTATTTCCTCGCGCTTTTTATTCAACAACTCCGATGTATTGACAGACGCGGGATTTATTTATGCATTTGTGGATATTAAACCAAACACTAAAAAGGATGGATCTCTCTTGCTATGTCATTATTTTGTGTCATTTTCCATCATTAATACATTAATCTGAACCTGGAGTGTTGGTTAAAGTAACATTGAAAAATACGACAACCCCCCCCCTTAAAAATTGTTGCTTGATAAATTTATGTTACTCATTTGCGAATGGAATGGACGGCATCCTCCTATTTGCATGGATGGCCCAACTTTGGAGACGTACCACCTTTGGTTTGTGTCCGCAGACCTTACCTCATGGTAGCATTTGGTATTCTGTTGTTTTCAATTTGTAGGTTATACCTGTGTGAGATTTTAAAAAAAAATACTGAATTATTCCTTTGAACTGACGGCCAGCCATAGTTCGCATGTCCCCTAGCGTCACTCGTAAACCAAATGACTTTTTTCACATGGGGGGGTTGACTAGAATAAAGATTATAATCTTGGCTCCGGAGGATTTTTTTCTCAAACAGAAGTAAAGTCAACTGTTTCAATTCAACTAGAAGCTTCCACACGAGGCGTGCGAAATTAAGGCTAGGCTCTCATGACAGGTGGTGTGTCCCCTAGTTGTCGGTTGTTTAATTCATAAAAAAAACCAAAAAACACGCACCCCGGCCAGTAAAAAGTCGGGTAACTACTATACTTGGATCAAAGTGAAACAGGGTTGGTTAAACCCACCCAATTCATTTTTGTGTCTCAAAAATATGCTGTTAGATAAAAAATTATGTTCTTCTGCATAAGTTACAGCTGCCTCTCTGCAACCTGCGCCGTACATCCTAAGTAGTGGCACCCCCGATAAAGCGGTGGCCTGAAAGGCAGTGTGTGAGTTAACTGGCATGGCTTTGGTATGCATACTTGTACGCATGCTAAAAGCCGCAGCCACAACTTTCCGACGCGGCCGTCTGTGCATCGATGACAACTAGCAATGCTATGCTGGTTCTTACCATAGGGACTAGGCGCATAAACAGCTGATGATCTGCTGCCCAAGTTTGCTGGACGTTAAACGTTCGTGACGCGAGGCCCAGTCGCACGGGCCTTTTTATTTCTCTTTATTAGTTAATCATGGGAACTTCAAACGCAGTTTCCCAAATACCAGCTCCAGTGTTCACTGTAAAATAAGCAAGTGGTAAGTTGGCACATGGAGGAAGGAATAGGCACGTACTGGACTTTTTAATTACAAGTTGGAAGAAAACGTACGTACGGAAGTGATGTGTAAAATCTGTAGCTGAGTGCTTATATTTCCGACAGTTATTTGTTCATTATGCTCGACGTTGTTGTTCCACTTTCAGGTTGGCGTAGGCCGCCTAGGCCTGTATATTTCACAAAGCTTCATGTACATGCATAGGCATGTAGGTAAGCACTTCAACACTTGTTCAACCAGTAGAACAGAGTGGTAGGCCTCCATCCCACATTGTCCTGGTTTGGATGTCTTCATTTCAACTGACGTCCAGAGTATAAACATGATAAAGTCCTCCTGCCGTAGCGAAATTTTTTTCAATGGTTTTTTCTCACATTTTACTTTGCGGAGGCAGCTCAAATGTCATTCACAAGTGCCTTGTACTTGTAGGCCTATCCCAAATTCCTGTGTTGAAATTACAAAATTTGCACCGGACAACGTTTTGCAGGAATTTTGCAAAACTCCACACTTTCAGTCGCGATTCATGAACGATCTACGTTCGTCTAGTACTAGTCCGCATTTGTGCATGTGCAAAATGACCTCCAAGCTCAGCCCACATTCTGTCAGTTATGTTGTCTAGAGCTACATGTACATGTAGGGCTAGGTCTTTGCTCCATTAGAAATGCTTGGAGACGTGCAGACAACAGACCCAGCCATGCATAGCTTTTGGAAGCCTGTTTCGGACACGGTTTATCTGTGAATTCTTCATGCCCACAGCTCCTCCGCGCATGTATGAGAGGCAGTTGGTTACTATGCATTTCATGCATGTGCAAATCATGGCAAGTACGCATACAGGTACTAGACGAATGTAGATCGTTCATGACGAAAAGCGTCGAGTTACGCTAAATTTCCTGCAAAATACGTTGTCCGTGGGCGTATTCAGTAATTTCAACACAGCATTTATGGAATTCAGGAAACAAGACACTTGTGAACAACATTTGAGCTGTCTTCGCCAGGTACACATGTGACAAAAACCATTGTAAAAAATGTTGCATTGTAGGAGAACTTTTATACCCCGGACGTTAGTCGCAATGCAATGTAGTCAACGTCCAACCTGGGCTAGCCTACATGTGTCTGTGTCACGTGTTATGTGATAAGCCTTACTGCATGATGAGTGATTTTGAATGGTAGACAGGCACTGTGGGAAGGAAAAAAGGGGCACTGTTAAAGCCTCTCTGGGCCTACATGTTCTACCGTTGTGCAAAACCAGCAATTTGGGATTTGCAATCCGCCCAGAGCTGAAGTGCACCCTCACCAGGCTAGCAATGGCAAAAGATAGACTACTAGGCTATTTTTCCAACTGGGTTCTTGCACGCATACATGGCATTCGGCATGCACGTGAAAATCATTCATTCCAGGCTAAATTCATGGCCTGTACTCAGCGTGCTCTGTGTCAAACGTGCATAAACGTGCACACCTATGCTGTGAGTTCATACCAAAGGACTGTCAATTTCATTTCAAAACGCGCCCTCTTTTGTTCCTGCTTGGAGCTGATAAGGCTTGTCAGTAAATCTACACAGTTATGAAATACCGGTACTAGTCCATTTACATCACCCAACGGGCGAGAGGTCTTTACTGTTTTACAGTAAGGGTTTCATACACAGACATTGCTCATTTTTCCTGTCGGTGACATATCAGCAATCTTTTGTCCGTTATTCTTACATGTACAAAGCACTGACCCAATCATTCTGAACCTGTCATTTGTTATGGTTGGTTTTATGTGCTGGCATTATGTAAATATTTGATTCATACTTTGAATTCGTGTAAGCCAATAGGCCTAACCCTTTTTCCCCTTTTAACCCTGTATACTTGTGCTCCCTGGAGCATGATATTTATTTGTTTACACAAAGGAAGTCGGCCTAGATGTAGTACCGGTAGATGACTTCCTCAATATTTGTTTCGTCGTTTTCTGACTTGTACATGTATTTGTGCATCTTTGCTTGATTTATGCTGATTCATGAAGCACCTCTGGCAAGACAGGGAAAAGAAGACTTTATAAAATATTATTTTCATCTCTGAGCATTTAGCCTCAATAGTATCAAGTCTGGCGCTGTACTGCAAGTGCTGTTTTTGGGCATGATCAGTGAATCCCCTGTGCATGTGCCTGTACATGTACTCGTATGTGTACATGATGCACACAGTCAATAGCACCTATTGATCAAGCCTGTGGGAAATCCGGAACTTTACATGTACTGTACCACACACTTACCGGTATTTCCCGTTCTGAAAAGATTCTTCCTCAAATTCTGTGAATTACTCTGTGCCTACATGTAAAGAATGGTGTTCAGCTTATATACCGATAGTGCAAGTAATCACACAACAGTACCATTTGCTTTTGTCACAGATGTACATGTATGTGTAAGATGAGAATCAATGTCATTTAGATGACAGCCATATACTGGTACATTACATGTACATGTATACCTGTACATGTATGTGTGAAAGTTGTCAGCTACATGTACAGGGTACCAGTACGTGTACCTGTGCCAGTGACATGCCATTTTGTTTTGAGAACTGAAAAATTACAAAAAGTACAAAAATGCTTTGAAATTCCTGGCAGATGGTCAAGGCTGTGCCCTCAGAAAACTTCTCAAGTCCTTTGTTCTTTTATTTCGACTTAACTTTTCAGATGTTGTGTCTACCTTCTAGACCTCACACACAAGTGACATCACTCCTGGGTATATAGCCTGCTAGCTGAAGGTTGGCAGTCACAGCCATGGGATCGAATAAATGTCCGTCCTCGGATGTTCAGAAGCTGCTGCAGAGCCAGTCCTCAGTCCTGGACCGACTCATCCAGGGAGGCGGACCATTTGACCTGCTGCTCCAGAAGATTCTCCTGAGACGGGATGGCCCCGGAGGTAGGTGCAGTTTACAAACACAACGTAGGGGTGAATTTCGTCTGGAGTTTTTGGAAATTGTACATTCATGTACTGCAAAGATTTTCTATTTGGCGGGGCTTATTTTCTAGTGCAAGTTGAGGTGTGGGATGCATTCTAGTGTTGTTACTCCCGCTGGAATGCAATAAAATGCTGCTGAACTGCAGGGGCTGTAGGGGGATATGGTGATAAACGGTAAGGACCCAACACAGTTCCTAGCAGTGAACATGTGCCATGCACTTACATGTACATGTACCAGCACTGTCGCCGTGTTCAAAAGTGAATGTTTTCATGGCTCAAAAGTAAGGTCGAAAAAGAGGCAGTGTTAGAGGGAAAACATCAATGTTGTGATTTCATTTTTTAAAAATCGGTAAGCGAGGATACTGCAGGTGCTCTTGGTGTGATAAATCAATGAAATGTGCTGACAAAGTATTGGAAATCATTATGAGGCACGTTCTCACAAAGAAACACCTGAGCCACTCCCCCACTCCCCCTCACCCCTGTTTGTCAGTTTCCTTAGATCTCGCCTCAAATAATGTGATTTGAGAGTTCATGTGCATATACCGTAGATAATCAATAATATTGGCTTCCCAATGCATGGGAAGTTGACAAACCGTCTGTGTCGTGCTTCTTTTGATACAGGTGCAGGATCACCTGAACAGTCTGTGTTGACATACTGTACATGTACCACACATGTACATGTACCGCTCTGCCATCATGAAATTGAGAGCAAAGTGTCAAATAAATAGCGTACATGTAACTTCTAAGAGTCAATATTGGCAGTGTTTAAGAAGTTTGAAAGTTTCATTCTTAAAAATTTGGCCAGTAACATGTTTCTTGTCTCGTTCACAAATGGTATTTTTCCAGTGAAAATGAAAAAGAATAATGCTGATGGGGTGGGTTGGTCACAATGTTGTTGACGGAAAATGGATTGTCTCTTCAACAACTACGAATACATGTACAAAATAAACACAAATATACATATAGCACCGTGGAACATGGCAGATACTAGTAGTTTGTTAGTAATATTATGCAGTGCTCAGTGGAGAAAGAGGTAAAATGGTACCAAACATTAGAGACTGTCTGGAGAATAAAGGTAAATCCAGAAATTAGGGGTCCAAAAGTGGGACATTTGTGTGTCCCTGTTACACCTGAACTTTGTTATTTGACAATCACCGGAATTGATTTCAAACTATGTTACTATTTAATTGGCAGGTAATTTGCATTAATTCATTACTTTTGGAAATTAGAAAATGTGCTGTGAACTTACAAAATCTTATGTCAGATGTGACAGGGACACAAAAAATGGACTCCTAATTTCTGGAATACCCATACATGTAAGTTATGTACATGTACACATTTACATGTTCACATACATACATTTACATGTGCACTCATGTACATGCATCGCTACCAGTATTACAAAAATGTGCATCATTAATAAGGCTGATACTTGTATACATGTACCGGTACATGTGTAGGCGAATGTACATGTTTGATTATTGACAGTTTGACAAGGCCGAATTAATGGCATATACTGTACATGTACAGTGTACACGTATGTATCCGGTACGTGAACATGTTCGCAAACTCATTCATGTATTTGTCAGAATCTGAGGAACATGAAAGACAATTTAATGAATAGGAATGGATATTACACATGTACATGTACCTGTGCATGTACATGTACATTTATATACATGTACATGTACCTGTAAATGTGCATACATGTACTGTACATGTATGCATGAAATCATTGCAGTTGGAGCTTGGTTCAGCCATACACTGTACATGTACACTCCCCATGATGTACCTCTATGGTTCAGCTCATTTCCTCATTGTTCTTCTCCTTGTAACTCAATTCTGTTGAAAACTTTAAAGTGCTGCCCAGTTTCCCATGGGACAGTAAGTGTTTTAAGGGCCAAATATTTCTATCATTGCAGAATGTACATGTTGTTTCTGTGTCAGGATCAAAACTGCAGGCAAGCCTTGGTTTTTGCGAGGTCATTCCAGTTACGAGTTTGGGGTATTTTTATTACAGCAGTTTTGGGTCTCCCTCACTGGAGCTCCATCATAAACTACATGTATGTGTGTCAGGGTGTAAGCTGCCAAAGGTACGGTAATAGTCTAAATGTCTCCCAGTCCAAACTTTCAGTCTGTAAGAAGGTCAGGTTTTTTCCAATATATAAAAAAATGGAAATGCCCACCATGTACATGTACCACCAAAATTTTGTTGCACTTTCACTGGGTCCGAGGCCTCCAAGGTCACAAATGGTTTACAGTAATCCATGATTGTTTATTTGGCCCAGGTTTTTATGACTGGCTCAAAGTTTCCATTGCAAGTCTACATTTTCATGCATGTACCGTACATGTACATACCGGTATATGTGTAAATGTACATGCTGGATCATGAAACCAGGATGCATTCTTCATCTGTTTTTCCCATCCGGCTTGGCTCGGTATTCGCATAGAGCCAAGGAAGATATCGTGCACATCACTGACTCTTTCCTTCAGGGTGAGCCGGGGCAGCATTGCAGCAATGTGCACAGTTCAGCAGTCCAAACACCAGGGTTGCCCTATCCAGATTGCTAGCGCACACACCCCCTCCCCTGGTGATTGAAGTGCAGGGGGTTCACTTACAGTGGGAAGTGAAAGAGAAAAATGTGCCAGTGTGCTGCCATTTGCCATCACCTGGCACAGCTTTCACTGCCAACCATTTAATCATTGAAATGAAGACTGAGGACGATAAGGTTATCTGGAAAATAACGTAAATGAGCATGCACTGTACTAGTACTACTGGTACATGTCAGTCAAAAAAGTGATCAATAATACGGGCAATTCACAATAGTGCGCCCCCAAGAGTTTGCAACGTGTTGGCCAAGCACAATCTGTGGACCCCATGGTCGACCCTTGTCAAACGTGCATTGGGTCGACAGATTTCCTGCATCGTGATTGGCCAACACGTTGCAAACTCTTCAAGTCTTGGAGGCACACTTTTGTGAATCCCCCGTGTTCAGG